TTTAAAAGGTAGGACAGAAAGTGATTTCTATACTTTTAAAATTTGTGCAAAATTTAGGGGGTTTTTAAGACCGAGCCAACTATACCAGGTTTAATATTGAAAACATGACTCCTACTGTGAAGTTCGGAGGTGGAGGCTTGATGATGCGGGGTTGTTTTTCAGGAAAGGGTTGATAAAAGTGGATGGTAAATTAAATAGCTTAGGCTATATACAAATACTAGAAAACCATTGAAAAAGACTTTAATAAGAGGGGTATTTGTATCAAGATGACAATGCCCCAATACATACTGCGAAAGTTGTAAAAAATTGGTTTTTAACAAATAAAATTAATGTTTTGTCTAATTAGCCAAGTCAGTCCCCCGACTTGAATCCGATTGAACATTTATGGTCAGAGTTGGAAAGAAGAATTAGAAGGCGTCCAAAAAATATGAAAAATATTAATGAGTTGGAATTCGCATTACAAGAAGAATGGAGTAAAATTCTAATGGATGTCCTATTGAAACTGATAGAAAGTATGCCAAGGAGAATAGAAGCTATTATTAAAAATAATGGGTGGCCAACCAAATATTGATTTTATGTATATTCCTTTAAAATTTTAGACATGATTATTATGTGAGTTCTTGAGCAATTTTTTTTTTTTGTTGATGTAAATAAAATCGTTTTTGATGATCATTTTTTTTTTTTTAGAAATGTTAGAGAAATGAAATTTGCATATAGATTAACAAGGATCTAGGTTACAAAACGACATTATTTTTTTGTATATTAATATGTGTAATTATTTGTTTTAGGGTGTGCGTGACTTTTGTCCAAGTAGTGTATTAATATAATAATGAAATAAAAACACACTTGAGCTGATTTTAGTGTCCGAGTTTGAAACACACATGGGCTGGTCAGTATTGGTATGTATAACGACCTTTACATAGTACATAGATAGTTACAGGTTCTAAAAATAATAAAAATGGAAAAAAAATCCTTTATTGTTGAATTAATAGCATCGAGATAAATCAATCACTATTTTTTAAAGGCTTATTATATCAAATTCTTTATCTGATAGAGAAAAATTTAAATTGAATAAATTATTTAACTATTAAAAAAAACCCATCAATGTAAAAAATATACGAGAGAATTGTTTGTTATACGATATTACTATTCAATGAATTATGTGTCGTGTTTCCAAACATACTAATATAATTTCCTGCAAAAGGAAATAATATTGATTGTAATAAATAAACGGATTAGTGTTTTTCTCAAACACAAAAAAAAAACATTTTCTCCAAACATTTTATAATGTCACGTACCAACTTCTTAACATCAGAAAGTGAGGAACTTGTATTTAAAATTTATAATGAAATATATAATAATGCTATGGTTAATTCTTCCAGAAGAAGTAGAAAAGATTATTTTTTTTCATTAGTCAAAAATAACAAGGTGCTTTCCGAAAATGAAAAAGAATTTTGTAAAGAAAGGTATATTTATAAGTTTGAATTAAGGAATGCAAGAGATAAATACGGTGAACCAAAAGAATGTAACAAGTGTAAATCAACAAGATACTCTGATAGGTTCTGTGAAGCTTGCATTAGTTTACAACTACAGAGTCTTTTCACCACTTGGACATCTGGAAATAACATCATCAATGATTTTATTCAACAATGTCAAATGAAATCATCCCTGCCATACTATATTTTAGAATGGGTACCTTATGAACAATTTGATGATGTAACAAAGTTAACTGAAGGTGGATTTAGTTCAATTTTTACTGCTATATGGACAAGAGGAAGAATAATTGATTATGATGAAAATAAAAAGGAATTTAGTTATTTTTGAAGGCAAAAAATAGTATTAAAAAGTTTAAATAATTCAAGTAATCCAGAAAATGGCTTTTTTGATGAGGTTGGTAGTTGTCATTTAAAACAAAATAAATACTTATTATATAATATTAATTGATTTTATATTTATTTCAGGCAATGAATTATTTTAAAATTAAATCAGGGATGATTGTTGAATGTTATGGTATAACTAAATTCCCAAATAGTGGAAATCATGCAATTGTTTTAAATTATTTACCAGAGGGAAACTTAAGGGATTATTTGCAGAAAAATCATTTAAATTTAACATTAAAAGACAGGATTACAATCTTTTATTATTTATGTAATGCATTAAATTTGATACATGAAGAAGATTTAACCCATTGTGATTTACATAGTGGTAATATACTTGTGGCAGGAGGTAATTGTTATATTACAGATTTAGGATTATGTGGCCAGTTGACGAAAAATCATCAGATAAAGTCTATGGAATTGTATCATATGTTGCACCTGAGCTACTTAGAGGCAAAAAGAACACAAAAGAATCTGATATTTATAGTGTTGGGATGTTAATGTGGGAAATATTTGCTGGTCATCCACCATTTGACAATAGAGCTCACAATCACCGTTTAATTTTTGATATATGTGAAGAAGGTTTACGACCACCAATATTACCAGGCATGCCTGATGATTATGTACAAATGATGCAAAAGTGTTGGGATGTGAATCCATCGAAAAGACCAACTAGTTATTATCTTTATTTGTTTGCTAGAGATAAACAAAGTGAAGTTTTCAATAATGATAATGATAATAATAGTGTTGGAGGTAGTATCAGTAGTAGTACTAGTAATGATAATCATAATATTATTATTAGTAGTAGTAGTGATTCACAACAAGTACGCAAGTCACATCCAGATGCATATTATATAAGTAGAATCTTAGATGAAGAAATTTCTAAATCAAAAAGCTTAAAAAGTAATGGTTTATTAAATAATGTTGATTTTAACAAAGGTGAATAAAAATTTCATTATCAATTAATTGGAAATTACTATTCATTAACAATATTTTTATTCACATTTTTAATTACTTTATAAACATTAGATTCTAGTAATAATGCTACTATTAGTGGTGGTAGTGTTTTGCAACAAGCATACAAATTACATTCAGATTCATATCATACTTCTTTAGATAATCTTGATATTAATTCTCATATCTTAAATGTTGAAGATGAATAAAATTTCATTGGAAATTAATAATAAATAGCAAAAGAAAGGATCGATTTATTCTATCTTTTTATTTTATTTTTTTCTTAAAGCTAAATTATAATACTTGAAAATAATAAAAAAATTTTTACGGTTTTTTAAATGGTAGTCTTTTGGTTATTTATGGCTTGACTTTTGGACAAATTGCAAATAATTCAATTAATTGGTTAATGAAGCTACTTTGAATCTTGCTTACTGCCTCTTTCTTCCACCTAGAAATCTGTAAGCTCATTTAATGGTACCGAATAAATAAAAATGGCACTTTTACGAAGCTCAAAGACTTCTATAAATTTCCTATTATTCATTTGCGACCAATTTATTTCAGTCATTTATTTTTTTTATCTGGCCGATCGATTTACAAAACAACTTAAATAACTTGTTTAACAACAATCTTACATTTACGATTACAAAAACACCATCAGTATTTCCAATTAACCTTTGGAGAACACTTCACTGACCATATCTATTTTTAACTATATCCAGAAAAATAATGATATGGTGATGAGAAATGTGAGAGGCACTTTATGCGCATGAATTTTGAAATTTCCCATTTCTATTTTTACCAAGGCACTCACTCCATTTGTTTCTTTTACCAAAGCGCTTTGAATGGGAAATAAAACAATGGTTTGTTTTTATTTTAAAAGTTTATTAATGACATTAAGGATTAATTTTATTTGCTACAAGGTTTTTTGTGTTAATGGTGTGTTTATTTTCCTCTGCTTTTTCAAAACAGGGCCTGAAGCTCATTCATCATCATTCATGGAAATGAAAATAAAGAAATAAATAAGCAGCTATGAAAATTTAAAGGTTCATTGCAATCTCACAACACATGTTCCGTATATAACAGATAATAATGTGAATTCTACTATAAACACCATTCAGAACTCGGAAAACTTTTCCGATGAATGATATTCACCGATTATTATCTGGTTAAAAATTTTTATCTGCGAAATTTTTTTTTAATACATTAATTAACATGTAAATACTATTTTATCCACATTTCACTATAACCAACATTTTTTCTATAGTAATGATATAATAATATATCAAGTAACATGAATACCAACTGTGTCATTATTAGCTAAACTTTTACTCCAAGTGAGTTCTATTTAATGAATTGAATCAATTGTTGTTGTTCGGAAGGATTGTATTTCTTAAAAAAGAATATGCAATGTATTAAAAATATTTTTGTAATTTTAAATTTATTGTTACATTTTAATATTCAATGATATTCGGCGGATATATCGGTAGATGAGTGATTATCTGGGTGTTGAATTTTATTGATTGACCAAGTATTCAAACACCTGGATAATCAATCAAAAGATACAATTACTACTATTACCCATTAGCCAACTGAGAATATCATTAATATTTAAGGTAAATATTTGTGTCTTTGGTATTAATTGTGACAATCATTCGCGTCTCTTGATGAGGTTAAGAATGCCTTTTGCATCTATTGCAAATTACTTTATAAATAAAATCTTTCTATATCTTTAAAAAACTTAACAGCATCAACTTTTAACATTGGCATCATTAACATTGACATTAAATAATTAGTTATCTCCCGCATCTAATAAATTAGATTGTTTGAGCCGAAAAATCACCGCCTTTTCTTTCCGTGTGGACTTAATATTGATAACCGTAGAAGAGTTAAAGCGTAAGATTTACATGCAGATTCACCAAAACCCAAGTTATCTCATGTGTAGTTTCATTAGATGTGTTATTTCACGTAGCGATAAAAAAAAACCTTATTCAAATGCTTTCTTTCTGATCAGTGTATTTATAATGATTTAGATAGTTTGGAACCAATTGATAATTGAGATCCACTCATGACTTGTGATGAACATAAATCACTCGATTTACTACAAGATTTCTTTAAAGAATTACTTGTGTGAATCTGATGATATTATATTATAATTGATAAATCAATATTATGATTAAAAGAAATCAAGGCCGTGTTGTTCAATGTGATTTGAGAATTGGAAGTAAGGATTACTTTGGAATGTATGGATTATTCCATTGAATTGAAGATAAAGGCTGTGGGCGAAATTAGTATCGCCCATTTCGGAATTAGATAAAGTTAATTCCGCCCAATGATTGAAATTCCGAAATTAATTTCGCCTTCGGTGATTGGCTAAAATCACAGTTCTGTGATAAAGTAGCACTCTTATTGGCTGTTAGTTGTGTAATAAATGTATATTACCATTGCATTAAACAATAAATAGTAAATAGAGTTAGCAACGAAACTATTTTGGAGGAGAAATGAAAGTCAAAACTTAAAAACTTGTTTCTGCTTAAACAAACTAATTTTATACAAGTTTAACAATATAACAAGAGTTTACAAACTTTTTTATTGGTTATTTCATTTAATAACTTTTATAACCTTATTATTTAATACTAATCATTTTCAATGGAAAAATGTCAGCTACATTTTGAGGATCCCACATATTACATTTCATATGACCCTGGGTTAAAAAATTGAATTCACAAATCAAAGCCTATTTGCTAATAAACTATTTTGATAGTTTTCACGTTGTAATAATCAACAATCCGTAAAATTTATGATAATGAAACACACTGACAAATCAGATATTCGGATTTATTCCACCATTTCAGAAATAAATGCTAAAAATCCAAAATATTTCAGAACTAAAAATTGGATTTCACCCACAGCATTAACAAATGTTATCTAAAAAAAAGCAATTGAAAAAAATTACTGGAATTAAATAGTCACCGCAGATCTATAGTAATAGTAGATGAGAGTAAAATTCAAATTTACATATATAGTAAAAAAAAATTTTATAATCGAATGTCTTACATCCTTGCTTGAGAGGAAACAAAAATGTGGGGACGGCCATCCTATTTATATTTTTTTTTGAATTAATAAAATAGACTATTGTCTTGACCTGAGTGATGTCGTTGTGTGAGTAAAACACACAAAGCTCACTGTCACGTTTTCATTTAAAGACTTGTTTATATATTAATTAATATAATATCTATATTTGTGTTACATTCAGTATATTTATTAAAAATTATTTTGATATTTCGCATTATTTATTTGGAAAGAATTAATGGCAATAATCCCAAATGGGATAATTCACCCAGACTGGGATATTAATTAATTAAACATGTATATAAGGAA